TAAAACAATACGTGTCGATTAGTTTTTGCTGCTTCACAAAATATCCAATGCGCATCAAAATCGGTGAGGATGGCCACATTTTCCTTGTAAGACCAAATAAATATGATCATCTTTTCCCACCCACGAAGTCTTACAATTTTCTCCTGCAATGTTTTTATATTTATCTTTAGAAATAAACAGGTTATTTTAGGTAGCAATGTTAAGTAAGAGTCACTATATATTTATATTTTAGTGGTATATTTATTGATATATTCAAAATTATATATATTTACCGCACATTAATTTTCGATAATAATTTCTCGGGAACTGTCAAGGTAAAGTACAACGAATAATGCACACTTTATGTTTTAATGCTTTTTTATTGAATGTTTCTAACTGTTATCAAGAAACAATGTGGTGTCTGTTATACATGTTTATAAACTGGTCTTTGTATATTAAAATTTGTTATGCGAATGTAACCAATGATATCAGTGTTCCTTCTTCTTCTTCTTCTTCTTCTTCTTGTTTCTTTGTTTTAGTTTAAGTTTTAGTTTATAATGCGCACTTCCGTAACACAGAGAGCAAGATGTATGTCTATTTGTTTTACTCGCGCTTTGAACTCGGATGTACACTCAGATTTCATCATAAAATAAATCAGAAAGTGCGTCTGAAACGAAGAAATCCTCGGAGATGCGAGAACCGATATCAATGCTCATGGTGTATCCGCTAAGCGGAAATCCTCATGCTCAATGAGAGAGACAGAGAACTGCTGAAATATGAATCCTTTGATATGACACTCGGTAAAAAATGCTGCGACGACGCGTCGCGCTTCTAAATGAGAATTTGTGATATATGTATACATGTATATACCGTTATAAAGTCATTATACGTGGGCTACATCGACACTCCGTGCGAATACACGATGATAAGAGCTCGGCATAGCGGACTCACCATGAGTCGATAACGGTCACCTCATAATACATAAAAATACTTTGTTGCGTTATGTTGTAACTTTCCTGACCTTGGACAAGAGAGGACACTCACTATGATCGGTTCGATTTGTTCGCGGAGCATTGTAAAATCAAATTATATAGGCCTCCTAACGATAGATAAATAGGTATGTAATCTTGGAGCTGGTATCTGTCGGAACTTCGCACGTCTCGCCGTCCAGCAAATCGTTTCTCATCGTTTATCAATGTGACTAATTCGAGAAAAGATGAAAGAATCACAAATTTTCGCAACTGACTGTATGAACAGTCGTATCTTTTTAAACAAAATCGTTTCTTTCGAACAGTCACGTGTGTATATTTTTTTTTAAACAAAAAGTATCCTCTTATCTTTTCTACACGGCTACTCGATTTATGTTGGCGACAAAAGGATTCGTCGTAAGATCACGGCCGCAAAGTCATCACGTTTCTCGAATTACCGCGTCGTACATATAAGCAAAAGAATAAATATAAGTAACGGGCTCCGAGTAGATTGTTTGTTTTCGTCTACCATAACACGATTCGTGCGAGTCGTGCGAGACGCCGACAAATCCCTGGGGGGCTCCCGTAAACTAAAATTGTGTATCGTGTAGTTTTAGGGTAGTATTAGCTAAGTATAGATAGACATTGCCTATGTACAACCGCAATTGCGAGATTGCGTTTACTACTTATTGGCAATCCTAAGTAAAGCTTACGGTTTGAATAAATTTTCTTTTCGATAATTATTATGTCTTTATATATAGTAAGTAAGTAATAATTCTATTAGAAATAACAGTACAATATCCGACTGTTATTCGTTATCGCGTCGTACCGACAGCCGCAGCCATTTACAGATTACACTTTTCTAGTTTTTTTTTTTTAAAGTTATCTCTTATTACATCCTGCGTGTATCTTTTGGTTCTGAGAAGTAATGTAAGATAATCATTTTTACTATTAATAACTGGCCAATAAGTATCTGCCACTTTTCTTACATCGCTATTCTATTTACCATATATACAAGTAATATACACAGTATGTTTTGCGCCTTCTTAATACAAGTAATATTAAAATCTAAACCTCATTAATGTTATAGTAATGCGAATAGAAACTCGACTACCTCTAATTCATCACTGTGCGCTAGTTCGCTCTGTCTCTGTCCCTCCCTGCTGTCTTCCTCCTCTCCGTTCCACCCACCCTCTTGCACAGTGGAATATAAATACATTTTTATATAAAATTTGTATAATCTAGATGAGAGGATCACTTTAAATATATCTTTCATATAATCACAAAAGATACAAATGTTTGTAACTATACAAGCAGGGGGTCTTGGGCGGTATCACTCTGGCAGTATCTTTTTATTTTTAGTTTTATATATTTTTTTTTTAATATACGGCTACCTCCGATTCGCGTTCACAGGCGGCGAATCGGCTCATCGCTGGATTGTGTGCGAACGAAGTAATACAGAATTTATTTTCGCATACTGAATCACCGTGAATTGTTGTGCAACCACTGACCTGAGTAAATAATAATGTTAAGCGTGCGCCTGGTCATGTAGAAACGATACGTGCAGAATTTATCCGGTGAACAAAATTTTGATTTTTCCTTCCCACGCTTTCTTTATTCTCGTATAAAATTTGATTGTATGCAGATACATAAAATTCTTAAGGCCTTTACGAAAATATTGCTATTACAGCGCAATTTATATTTCTGACTTTTCGATTGGCGTGGCTCGTGTAAAAACCACTTCATCGTCTGAAACGAAAGGCCCGATCGTAAGACATGAGAGGAAAAGAAAATAAAAATCAATCGATCGCGAAATACGCGCGCAATGATAGTAAACACAATTCAAACGCATCATGCAAAAGTGTAGCTTAACAATCCTAGTTGGGAAGTACGTACGTCGATACACGCGTCAAAATGTGAAAATAAATTCCATATGTAAATATTTTCACTCTCCCCATCCCTCTCCCTCCGCGATGTATCTCTTTCTTCACTTTCTTCAGAATTATAAAAAAAAAAAGAAAATTAAACTTCGCGTTAACGTCGTGTAAAACATAAAATCCTTCGTGTTAACGTCATGTAAAATAGAAAATTGTAATTCCATTGGAGATGTTGTTAAAGAAATTGTAGAGAGTACAATTTTTTTTTACGTTCTGGAGTCGAATATACACACTATACGCGTATTTTACCCTTTGCCCCTAAATATTCATGTTAAAATGTGCGTAACACGTGCGTGTCACTAATGTTTGCGGAATATTCTTACACGACGTATAAGACGGACTCCAAACTGCATTCATTATCGCACGCGTTCAAACTTATTCGAAATATTATAACTATTATTCTCGCGGTGTTGTGTGCAATACAATGGTCGAATATATGTTCTGCCTTACCTCGGTAAGTAAGGATATCCGGTTACAAGAAGTTGTAGCGTCGACTAATAATGCGAACGTCACGCATATTCTTTCGCTTCGAAATAATACTAATTGTTATTGACATTCTTCTAAAATCATAATCATGAACGATAAACTCGATACTGTTTTCCCTTTTCCTGTCTCCTTCTTCACTTCGTATTTGACGTCGGCAATTTTTATCTTGGGAGATACATCAGATTTCTTTCCTCTTTACCGTTCTCTCTTTTCCTATTTGATTTCCAGGGTGAAGCCCGATATCCCCTAGTTAATTCACTTCCATCTGCTGCCACTAACTGTTTGAAAGGAAAGGAACACTATATGCACTATATCCATTAATAAGCAAGGTGGCTCTTCCAATAGATGAATGTCTCTTAACTGGATTAAAACTTATTTACAAAAGTAGACACTGTACAATTATCGTTCTGATCGCGATGTAGGTCTATCATAGCCTTCGAGTGCGAGTAGACCGGCTTTTGCAAGTAAAGACTGTGTATTGCAAGGACAACCCCGAAACAAATAACTCAAGACGGCAAAACGTTCAAAACGGCAAAGCAATAACTTAATGAAATGCACTTTCAAAATCCAATGATCCTTAATGAACGTTCGCGATTGACTATTGGCCGATTGATTATCTCCCATTGATTCGCAATAGCAACGTCGTTCGCTCGAACGGAAAACTCACTCAAGTGAATGCCGCTACATTAAAAACTATTTCTGGAATATTTTCTTTTCCTGAGGCGCGGCATAACGCGCTATTATCGAACATTAAAAACATGTCTCGACCGACACAGGTCGAGAGAGACACATTCTTAATAATAAGATAGCACAGCGCTATCCATGCAATAACATCTTCACAGCGAGTTAACTATTACGGTATCTTCTTTTACTGTCACGTTTTCCAAGTTGCCGCTTAAACCCTAATTCGTCCTAACCTCTATAGGAATATTATAACTACAACTATAGTTTTTTTGTACCATTGATTAGGTGAGAGCACCCATAGTGTCGCTAATAAAATTTGAATTCCCTCACTACAAGTGTCCGCGTACAGTGAGTAGTAAGTTCCGTAAACCTACTCCCGCAATGTCATCAATGGGCCCAGAAAATCGGCGAATTTTGTGCAACCTGATTGTGCGCAGGCCTGAAAGGACGGCCAAGTATTACGCGGTTGCCTGTTCCTAGTAATTCGCGCGGAAGTACACTGTAGCCATAGAATAATATTTGCAGCGAGGTGTTAACTCTCCTTCCTCTCTCACTCTCACTCTCTCTCTCTCTCTCTCTCTCTCTCTCTCTCTCTCT